TAGCCTATTTTTTTAAAACTTCGTATCACCATGAACCTCAGCGTCAACATTGGTTTTGAACTACAGAAATATATCTAAAACCCTTGAAAATGCACCAAGCATAAACAGAACTAAAATTTCCATTAAAAGCCTGCTTGTATCTCCTAAAATAGGTCACACAGTGCTGTAATTACATATAATTCATTATTTTTCTTTCATTTCACTTTTCAACAGCAGTTACTTAAAAAGCTTACTAGAAAATCAGAGTATTTATCCCCTGGAGGGCTGCACTGCAAAGCAGCCCTTCACCCTCACGTGACCGTACTGGGCAGAAAAATAGAAGTGCAAGGACCTCAGGCGGTAGAAAAAGGGCATTGCTGCCTCTTAGACCTTCTTGGACCATCTTTGTCCATGTCTACCTTCCCAATACAAGTATGTATGTGAATTGAAACTCTCGATGCTGAGGAGCGGGTGTCCACCCTGTTCGCATTCTGGGGTTTGTACTTTGTACTAGTTCAGCCTAGACCGATGTAATGAACATCTGCGCTAGGCTGGAGCAACACACTGAACGCCCATTAGCAAACGAGGTGTGCTACTGGAACATAGTTCCAGTTAAATTTTATCTGAAAGAGAATTGAATTTATTTCCCTGCTGTCCCACAGTCTACAGACAGCAACATCACAATATTAATGGAAAAATCTTTCAAGCAGTCTTCTTATATTCAAAGAATAAAAGGTGATAACGCAGGTGCTGAACAAATCTACACATACGAGCAAAAACATAAAACTAATCTTAATATAGCAGTACATGGAAAGATTTTTAAACTGTATCTTGCATTTTTACCTATGACATCTGATGGAACAGATAGCCATAAGAAACCTACACGGAATGCGTGTAGCAGCAAAGGAAAGGAGAAAGGTGGCCAGCTCATGGGAAGAAAAGACCTGACAGGATGGTGTTCAGTAGAAGCAGGAATCAGGAAAGTTGATTAGGTTTGAATCCAGGCCATAAATGACATGAGACTTACATCTAATTGGGAATTTCCTTTAAGAGACACAACAAGGCTAAATTTCATAAGAAACTCTGATTTCTTCTTTCATAATTATAGAAAAATATGGAGACAGAAACAAGACACTCCTCACAAAACACTACCATTTCTTTCCTGGTAAATATCACCTAGAATTGTCAAGTGCATCTATTTTTTCAGACTTAAAACTCTGTTTGACATATAAAGTAGCTAAAGTGAGGACTGTAGATTAGGCACAGTGTTGCCTAAGAACAGCAAAACCACGTCAAGAATACTTAAGACCAGAAAGGTACATTATTATCCAACTTAGCCGATGCAGCTTGTCTTATGGTTCCTACCTCAATTCAACAGCAGAGAAGTATTATTGCTCTAAAAACTTAAGGATCAGTATTCTCCAATTCTAATCAAAAGCTTTGTAGTAACAGAACCACTTTGTGTTGAAATTGGTGTAAAAGTACAGTCTATATGAGCATCAAGAGAGAAAGTGTTCCCTTCCCCCTTCCACAAAAAACAGTAAAAAAAGAGAACAACTATATTTTTAAGAAAATTCAACTTACTTGCTTGACTATTTGTAGCTCCTCTGTTAACTGTTTCTGTAAGTTCACAGATTCAGACAATTTTTCCTGTTTAAAAAAAAAAAGGAAGAAATAATTAATAATTACATCTGAAAGAGATAGAGGTTTTATTCCTAAAACCCAACTAGCTCTTTCAAAACTACAGGTAGTACTACTTAACTTCTATCAATGTACTTACTGCCTTCTGTACAACTACTATATTTCTAGGCCATGGCATATGTCTGTTAATAAAGTTATATAATCAGAAACACACATATTTAAAGAGTTCTGGTGGAAATAAGAATCAACAGATTTTATAAAACCCGTGACAAAACCAAATTTTCATCTCTAAAACCTAGTTTTTCAGTGAATTCATTGATACTGTTTAAGTTTCTTGAGCATCTGAGGATTATTTACTGAACATTTCTGTGATATAAGTAAACTACACATTTTAAGTCTCGTTACCTAGCCACCTAGCAAATGAGCAGAATAAAGACATTTTTGTGGCTTTAACAGATTGCTGTACAACCTAATATTCACGTCAAGTTATTTTCAACATTGTATGTGTTACCATTCTTCCACTCAGAAACTTAGACCAGAAGCCTGTAGGTACACCACTTTCAGAAGGTTAAAAGTTCTAATGAAGTTGGTTGGTTGTTTTTTTTTTTAAAAGTGCTATAAAAGCATAAAGATTCAGACCAAGGGTATTTCTCACTCAATATAAAGTATTTGATCGTAGATTGCTAAGGGAGGAGTCTAAGAAATGAGGCAATTACAGATTGATCGTTGCCAGTTTTTGACAACGGCAATTTAGGGACTCATCGTATGATAAGTATTCACTACTTCAATGTTCAGTGTAAATTGCGTTCTTTCATTTCAGCACAAAGTTTTCAGAAGGAGAATCTTTGTGCACAGAATGAAGAACAAATCTTTGGGTATATATCCAATGTGTTCTTGTAATCTATAGCAAGAACAATTTTTTTTGGACCAGGAGGCAATTTGTAGAATTGCCTGTATCCTGGGATCAATTTTCCAAGAGAAAGAACAAGTTAGGAACGCTAAATACAGAACCAGAATTTTTTACCTTTTTTGTTGTCAAAAAAGAAATTCAGGAGCATAGGACCGTGGTTGTAATCCATATTGTATATAATAAATGGCTGTATATAATAAATATATTTGTTGCTTTAGGTCTTATGTATTTTGTAACGTCTGTGAAAATATGTGTTAATTTTGAAAACAGATTAATTGACCCTCCAGTTCTGATTTCTATCAAAAGTATTAGCACATGCTCAGACACTGCAGTTACTAGGATCACACATTTCTAAATAAAATTGCTATGCAAATCCGTCACTTCTCCAAATTCACTTTGTGAAATGACTGCTTAGTCTCATTTCTCTGTAAACCCAATTAAAAAATGTATTCAGTATAACAAATAAAATTCATGGTCTCCAGAAATACATTGTAAGCCTACAATCTTCAAACATAATTAGGACTGTTTGCTCTGCCTTTTTATTTATTCATCAAAAATTGCACATATGCTCAAAAAGAAGTTAGTCTCTTAAATAATTTAAAGCAAATAAAAATTAAGTATTACCTTTAATTTACTCACTTCTTTTAAAGCTTCATTTCTTTCTTTCCTAAGTCTTTCCATGTCATCCTCCAAAGAATCACAGGTCACAAACTGTGCATATTTAAGTAGGTAAGGTTAGAATGTATTGCTAACTGCATCTTTTGTAATCTTTAACATCTTATCTTAAAAGGTCGTGTTAATAAAATGAGAGGATAATCTTAATTTTAAAATAATTTAAAGCTCTGAAAATATTAAAAATGTTTAAGAAAATTCTGACCAACTTATCTTCAAAAGGAAAAATTATTTTTCCTGTTAAAAGGATTAATAAAAATATTTTTAAAGTACCAAGAATATAACACTAATAGCCCATTTCCTCCAGTATTTTAAATAATACATAATTTTATTTTACTATTCCTATGCTGCAAATGCTCTTTCTTCAAGTCAGCTTTAGAATAAAGTGATTTTCTTTGTAGCAGTAGTTCAGGTCACTGGGCCTAATACTTGTTTATCACTCACACTGGTAGTGGCAATATATATTCCATTGAGAAACCTCAGAAAATCACTGTTGTCCATACATATAACAAATCACAACACAACTACGTGAATTGCTTTCTGCAAAGTAGGTTGCTTTAAAAAGCTTTGCAGAAACTAGGTTATCTTAAAGAACACCCTGATACAGAGCTGTTCTAAACATCTGCCCAACATTTAGAGTCATCTTACATATAATAAGCTCTCCAATAATCTCCTCCCAACAGTTACACTGTACAGGCACACATTTTACCTTTGAATCCAGTAAGCTGGCAATTTCATTGACCCCAAATATTACAGATTTTTGGCCATCATCTGTTGCATTCAATTGCATAGAGAACAGATTCCTTGAAACTTCAACGAAATCTAAAAAAACAGTTTAGATTTTGTTGCTGCAGTCTACAAGTTCAGTTTAGTAGCAGCACCACTAGATGCAACACAACTACTAATACCACAATGTACGGCTATCCATTATAAATGCAGCATCTGCACTCCATAAGTTTTCTAAAAGAAAATATAATTCATCTACATTTTTGTCAGACACATCTCTCGGAACAGAAACATTTGATAAAGCTGGTAAAAATAAGAACAAAAATGTTCAAAACAGGTCTTGGGATGAAATACCCTTGAATCAAGTTGTGGCGGAAAAAAGAAAACAAAAGGCAGTAAGTGTGAAGTTCACCTTGAAAGTACCTGGTTACAGATACTCTGCATCTGGCAGATCCCTGTGAAAAATTAAAAGAAACCTGCACACCGGTTATAGACCTGCTTTTCCCAGTGAATTGACTTTACTAGAGGTGACACAGTGTCTCTGCAGGAAGAAGAGAAAAATTCATGGTGGCGCTCAGCTCATAGTTTCCTTTGCAGGTCCTTTAAACCCCTGGTAAAGACCTCGTAAAATTGATGTTGACCAAGTTGAAAGTTTTATATGCAAACAATAGAGCAATCTCAATCCGTGTGGCTTGGATTACCCATTCATTCTGAATGCATAAAAAAAAAAATATTTGCTATTGTATGAGAGACAAGTGGAACTATAAAGGTCAGTTTGTTTACACCACATAAAACCTGACAGAAGATCCAGTATCTTTCTTGATAATGTACTTGAAAAATCCAGTTTCTTTTTAGATGGATAAGTACAAGAAATTATTTTTCATATACTAGTGTTAGATGCTGGTTTTCATAAACTTTAGGAAAAGTGAAATTTCCATCAGTTTTAGCATCAGAACTATTACACATCTGACAGTTTATGATGAATATTCTTAAATTACTAGTGTCACCTACCAAAATTGCCATAAACAACAGAAGCAACTCATCCCCATCAGAATTAGGTTTAGCTAGAATCATGATAGTCACCATGCAAATCTCTTTCTATATGCAATAGTTAAAATGTTCTTGCTTCGCACAAACTAAGCAAGTTAAATAATCCATCAGCTTAGTTGCTTCAAGAAGTCTCTTTAACCATCAATACTCTCCCAAGTAATTTTTGGAACAATTTAGGAATTTGTGAGCACAAAATCAAAACTTTCTCAAGACTGCTCTTAAATAGATACATTTGTGATTTGCTTTCCTATTACTTAGTTTCAAAAATCAAAGATTATTTTTATTCAATAGAATAAGGTTCTTGCCTCAAAGTATCATTTTACTTGCAGCAGCAACTCAATGCTGACAGAAAATATATTAATGGTTATTATGTATTATTTCTATATTCCTGAATTTCATTATTTTCCATGGTAATTAACAAATTATTACCTCCAAAAGACACTGTTCCGTTAGAATCTTTCTGAAGTTGCTGCCTTAGGGCTTGCTGCTGTTCATCTGTGGGCTGAATCCCAAGATAATTCAATGCCTGGAAGGAGAAAACTTATTTTGGAGGAAAAAAAAAAAGAAAGAAAGGACTAGGGATAATGACTGCAGGGACATAGGGGAGTAATTAAAGAGCTATACTTCAAAGAGCCTTTGTATCACAGTACACTCTCACTGACAACACTTTTATTCCAGAGACACTCTGTGTCTTTTCCGTCTAATTGAGAGATGTTCAGATATTATTTAACCTTGAATACGGATGAGTGTAATAAGCAAACCCCTTTGTCCTTAACAACTGCCTTAAAAATCCTGAGGGATTTTCAGATTCCCAGAAGAGTTAATCAGTAATTAGATTAACAAAAACAGTAATTTGCCCACTATATAAAATGAAATACTGGCTTGCAACCTGAAGGAACTATCCAAATAGAAAATTTGGTGTTTGTCAATCTAGAAGTATTCTCCAGACGTTTTACTTGCATCGTGAAGGGGGGGAGAAAGAAAAACTCAAAAGACTGTAAATATTTACCCTCTCCAGCTTCTCTGCTTTGAGACGAATAGTAGAGTTCCTTCCTTGCAGCTCATAATCATCATTCTGGCTGGGGGCAATAACTAAGAAGTAAAAAATTAAAATTAAATAATGATACAGTTGTAACTAGTGCTTTGAAAAATTTGTTTTGAAGTTCTGCTCATCAAATGGATGCCAGCTAAATACACACTTGCCACAAATAAATGTTAATATTTAGATTGACTTTTTTTTTTAAAGGATGTAATTGTAATAAACAAAAATTTGGGGTATCAACCACTTAAACTATTTATTCACATCAAAAAGTGACAATCAAAATTAGCAGAAAGAAACCAGAAATAACTTTGAGCGATCCACTGAGCACATGGCTTATACTTGTGTATTTTCTCTTCTCTCAGAGATACACATTTACTCTGGAAGCAGAAGGGGAAACACACTTGTGAATTCTGAGAAAGACCTTCAAGAGACGCCTCACCATAATCAACAGTTCCCAAAAGCATATCTAGGGATCTAGAAAACACTGTGGGAAGGGAGAGAATGACCTGTTGCCAGCTAAGGGCTGGGTGGAGGTAGCTTAGCCTGAATTCCAGCAGCCTCCTCAGTATTTTTTCCTCGAGAGGATATCTTTTCCAAGAAATACCATCCATTAAACCATCATTGATCATCCCTTTCTCTACAGTCCTTTCAGTCAGAAATACAGCAAGTTTGCATAATTTTAGCTAGTTGCATTAATAGCTTATGGTCCATCTATTTTATTTCCAACATACGCAAATGATTAAGCTGAGGAAAGGAAAAGCAGCTAGCAGTACAAAGCAGTCCATATGCAAGATTTCAGAATAATTGCTTTTTTCTTTTGAGTTGCGTGCTTAGTTTTAATGGAACTTGAGAAATGCAGTCACGGCTTTGTCGCATTTCAGCCACGCCTGTGGATCCAACACAAGAAGCAGCAACCTTTGGAAGCCTTTGATCACAGACAGTTGGCAAAAGGAGCAGTTAACTATCAGTTTCTTTGGATTTTAGATGCGTGTAAATAGAACAAATTCATTAGCTTGGTTTTTATTTTTTTCAGAAGAAAATGGAATACTTGTTTGCATTTATTATTTATAAATGTAATTTGGATCTTAATTCATTATTTCATTAATGGACTAGAGAGGTACTGAAACCAAAACGAGCATTTGAAAACTAAAGGATCTTGCAGTTTGAGATTCTCTCTAAAGGAACAGAAGGAATTGCATAATTTCCCCCCCTCCAAGTTTCACAGCATATCTGTTTCCAAGCTCAAAGTAATTTACATTCTCTTCATATGCCAAAAGCATAAACCAAAACATCTTGAAAATCTCTGACACTCACACCTCTCACATGCTATATTAAATTCTGAAGACAGTGGGCTAGAACCTCAGCTGAATTGGCATGCTTCCTTTCAACTCAGAATGAAAAAGCCTTGTGTATGAGTTTGTGCAAGAATTTATTAAAATTATACTGATTTTTCTTACAGCATTTAAAAAAAATCATCTAAGAGCTGCTTCAATTTTTCAAGGCTATCCTTGGATGGTTATCCTAGTAAAAGGGCAGCATGAGAGAACTGGCATCTTTGACTAAGAATCTGCTATTAAATTAGACTAAAAGGAAAAATGACAAGAAACAGTACAAACTGGAGCTGCAAGTATTTCTCCTTTCCACTCCACTATCTACGTTATTCAGATATGTTAAGAAACTCTGGCCGCCTTGGTTTCTTTAAGCAACAATGATGCTCCTGTGTATCGCATTATATTAACCAAGAGTCTTATATTCTGAATATACTAAAAAATAGCCTTTTTTCTTGTTCCTCTGATTTAGTCCTGGTGTTTTTCATGACCAATATGAAAAAACTGTGTGATCGTTAATCTCCAGGTGTATTCAATACTACAACCTTTCCAGTTTCAGAAGTTCATATTCAGTCAGCTCACCCTTCAAGGTAGGAAGCCAACCGGTCAGATTTGCAATGTGGAAAGTGTTTCATTTAAAATGAGGATATCTAATATGGGCCGTAATAAATGCAGGTACAATTTAAATAACTGCAGGGGAGCGACATCCAGAATGAATCACATCCTGTATGTTTGTCCTTCCTCTTCTCAGTATATTAGACATCAAGTTGAGAAGCACAGGTTATGCTTAGTTACTATGGCGTGAGGAAAAAGAATATAGTTCAGGTCTTCATACAGACATACAAAACAGAATCAGTTATATTACTGTGTCAGTTGAGACTCTCATTATTATGTCAGACTATTGCATTTGGACTGTCTGTAAATACAACGAATATTTGTTTCCCAAAGGAATTACAATTGTTCAGTTCAGATTTGATTGTGACCAAATTCTACAACCTCTATTTTTCCTCAGTGTTGTTTTCAAAATATGTATGTAGAGATATGATCAAAGCGACTATTGTTTTTGTTTGAATGTCATGACTCTCAAATATAAATATACATGTATACTCTATTTGTTATTAATTGAAAAAATGTTAGAGGTCCACATGTTACTTCTATCCTCCCAATACACTGCCCTGATTTAAAAAAAACCCAAAGTGCAAGCAGTATACATCCACAGAATGTCATCAAATCAAGAAAGCACAGTTTCTATGGCAACCTAATCTTGATCTATATGTGAGTCTTCATTATCTGGTTTCTACTGAGTCTATTATCATTGCTGCTGTATAGCAAATGTTGTGATCGCTCATTTTTGTTTGGTTTCAGCTGTTTGTTAAAGACAATGTAAGTTATATTTGACAGAAGGTACTAAACAATCCATTGATGTCACTCCTTTATTTAGTACTACAAAAATAGTGCAATACTCCTTCTTTTAAAGACTATTAAGTCTCACTATATACTATTTTCTGTGTGGCAGTTATTGAAGAAAAAAAGGGTGGCAGGGAATTAAATCAGCATTTACCAGTGACAGAGACATCAGTAGGACTGCTGTCTAGGGAAGTAATCGGAGATTGGTCTCCCATCTTGACACCAGTTTCTGTCTGTGAAAGAAAATTAAAAGTAATACCATTTTTAAAGCAAATCACAAGCCAAACTAGAATACACATTAATGTAAAAGAGAGGGAGAGGAAGGGAGACCGACGGGAGAAATAGGACTGGACAGATCAAAACAACACTAGGAGAAAATGGAAGGCATAGGTGGTGGGGAGAAGGAATGCCATTCAAAAAACTTACATCAGGGCCTTATCAAAACTTTAGCTAGGTTTTGAATACTGTCACAGATTAAGATAGCACAGTCTCTCTAGACAACCTGGTTCAATGTTTCTATCTCTAATAGGAAGAGAAATGGCAATAATTTTAAGTACAAACGTAAGAAAAATTGAGAATCACCTGTTTTGAGTTTAACGTGGAACATTTTGTTCTTCCTTGTTCAAAGACAATACTTTATTTAGTTTTTAAAAAATGCAATAAATTGAAAATGTTTTTTTAAAAATTGGAATAATAGAGTACTTTTTAAATCTTCTTTCTTATAGTCAACATTAATTCTTTACACTAATGGTAAGCTGTATGAATTAAAACAATTGCTGCTTAGCTGAAAGAAAGGGGGAAACCCCCACATTCTTCTATGACTCTGATTTTTAAGCAAAAATCTTATCATCATGGAGGAAGTGTAACTTGTGAGATTGTACTGTACTCACACGTATGTAGTAATCAGAGAGTACTTTATCTCTGAAATACATAACCATATATATCTCATGCTGAAACTTTACTCCCTAGATAAACAGTAAGGAGAATTTCATATCTATGAACACAGTTAATGCTCATTTTATTTGATTTGTTTTCTTAACACCAAGTCAACTAATACTCTTATTCCTTTCATCAGTTTACTCTAATGTTACACAACGTGTTTTCTGGAAAAGTCTTGATATTCCAAAGAATTCATATTGTGCAGAAAAAAGGGCCAGTTATTTTCTTATTAGATGGAAACTGAATTAAAAAAACCCTATACTGCAAACATTTGCTCACTTTTTACAAAGAGGAGTAACAAGTATACTCACAGCATTTGGAGTGAAGGTTGAAACAAGCTTCCCATTAGGAGATGCAAGAGAACTAAGTACTGCAGCCTGTTGCTCTCCATATGCTACTGCAGACATGAACAGGCTGGAAGGACGTTGCAGATTCTCTGAATAACTGGGAATATTTTTTTGTCTAATAAAAGCTATCTCCCAAAAACTTTCAAACCTAAAATCAAAATTAAAAAAGTTTCAACAGATTGTATACTATACTGTTCATAAGATTGTACATTACTTTTGCAAAAATTAAATTTTCCCCAAACGCTGTGTGATTTTCTGTATTTATTTTTCTAAAAGGATGCTCTACTCCCCATCATTAAAAAAGGTAAATCCCGTGGGTTTGGGTTTTGTTTTGTTTTTTCTTTTGAAAGTAATGAAAATATCATAATGTTACAGGTCTAAAAGGTGCATTTCCATATTTTTCTATGAAACAACACTGCAACTGAATATTTAAGAAAAATTAATATCCCTTGCATTTCCTCTAAGTACACAAGACAAGACATTTAACATTAATCTGATCATAAATATCGTTTAACAAACCGTTTTGGAGGGTTAGCTGTTTGACAGCAACAGATACCTTGTCTTTGTTCTGTTGATTATACTTTTTGCCTCTTCATAGGAGACACCAATCATTGACTCTTTGTTTATGGATACAAGTTGATCTCCAGGCTTCAATCGTCCATCCTAATATAACAAATAAATAAACAAACCCACAGATTTTATATTAATTGCTAACACTATAGAAAGAACTTTAACATATTCCTCTGGATCTCTTAAGACAAGAAATACCAAGAATCACTACATTTTGCCTGACAGTCTTCCAGAAATAAACAGTGGATCAAACAATCATTTAATCACCATGACAGCAGTCATTACAAAAACTTCATCAGACAGAACAGATCTCAGATATTGTGTAAAGAAGATATTTGGACCCAGATGCATATTTCTGTTAAAAAACCCCAACAAACAGACCACAGATAGTAAATTTCCCAGCAAGGATTACCAACTCATCTGACTACAGGAAGTTTCTTTACTAATTAATTCATCTGTGAGGTGGATTTGTATTTCAAACCCAAATATTCTTGGCTATACATGGGACTCTTCAGACACTTACTAGCCATATTAATCTTAATGAGAAAACCAGATTAGTCTATTAGGCATTCACCAATCAAAACCACAATAGAAATAATATCGTCAACTTTGTGCTTCTGTTGAATTATTCAGTGCAAACCTTCTACCAACGCAGGAACATATCACATTTCTGTCTCAGAGACTGTAAGACAAGACTTTAAACATGCTAGGTTAGATTTCACACTAAGATAAAGCTTTCTTCACTCACATTTTAAAAGAGGCCTCAACAATTTAACTAAAAATTTATGTAATTTACCTATGGTTACAGTTAGTTATGATGTAAGTCTAATGTAATACACAATAAATTACACATAACATGTCCATGTTCTTCAGCTCTTAAGAAATTAATCATAAAATCAGTCTGACCATGTGAACAAACTGTGTACAGAAGAAAATACATAGGAAGTAGGTAAAATACCTTCTGAAGACCAGTATAATTTTACATATTTAATACCCACATACCATAATTTTAGCTATGTTATTTCTAACCTATGATATCACTTCACTACATTTTTTTCACTTAGTGTTTCTGTTTTGATTACAGGAAAAAAATGTTGTATATCTTCTATTTCGCTTGCATCCAGCCTATTAAAAGATCTCTATTTCAATGCTGCCCTCATGCGGCAGAGATTTAAAATATGCTCGCTACTTTGGTTTCTCAAACAGCGACAACCAAGATTGGGAAATTACCTCTAATTTTGCTAATACTAGAACCTACTGCAAATTAATGGCTCAGTCTGTCTGTCGATGATGTACGACAAGCACAAAATATATGTTTACAATGAGAAAAATGTTTTAGAAACCACAAGAAAATAGGAGAAAAAGAATGATTACCATTTATCTACTAAAAGAAGTCCTGTAGAGACATTGCATTTTTTTCCTTCCATCTTGGCATTTTGGGATTAACCTAAATCTACAAAAATTCAGTCACAAATAGTTACAGACTGTTTTGGGGCGAAACTCATTGCTCATGAAATTAACTCATACCCTCTTGCTTGGCAAGATGCAAAAACTGCTTATCGGCACATCAAAATAACCATAACAACTCAGGATGCAAAAGGAGACACTTGGATAAACAGTTTTGTGTACTTGAATCAGACAGTTATTTATTTCTTTTTTAAAACTG